CTGATATAACCTATGTGTGACTTCCAGGTGATAGCTTCATCAAACATGACTCCTAAAAATTTTGTTTCTTTCACCCTTTGAATGTCCATTCCATTTAGTTTTATTGTTACGTCTTTGTTGTCTCTGTCATTAAACAATATAAAATTTGTTTTATTAAGATTCAGTGAAAGTCTGTTTATGTCAAACAAGTTAACTTTTATCAGTTCATCATTTATCACTCTAGTTACTTCATTAATATCTGACCCTAAATAGAACAATGTTGTGTCATCAGCAAATAAAACAGTACTGAGTAGCTTAGATACACTTACAAGATCATTAATAAATAGTATGAACAGTTTAGGTCCAAGGACTGACCCTTGTGGGACACCATAATTAATCTCCCGCAGTTCTGATTTAGTGTTGTTTTGTTGGACAAATTGTTTTCTATTCTTTAAATAACTTCTAATCCATTGATGCGCCATGCCTCTTATTCCATACTGATGTAATTTCTGAAGTAACCTTGAGTGATAGATAACATCAAAAGCTTTCTTCAAGTCAACAAATATACTAATGAAGTAGTTTTTATTGTCTATTACTGTAGGTATTTTGTCTGCTAGTTCCATTATTGCCATTGCAGTTGAATGTTTGGTCCTAAAATCTGGAAGAAACTGTGAGTTCTGAGTGTTAAAGAATTTGGTCTGCTATAAACTAGAGAGTTGATAATTTATAAAACGGCATTAGACGAAATCTTGCTGTGTCTATGCACCCGTGATGGAGACTCTCTTTTGGATCCGAGATGTCGGGGGGTCGGATGACCCCAAGGCACTGAAGGTCGTAGATTACCCGCAATGTGACCAGGTCAGTCCAGAGTCATCTCCAGGTCACAACAAACAGGTGGACTTGTTTTGCGTCTCAAACGGTTGGACTCTTAGGGAGTTGTAGGCTGTGTCAGCTTTGCAGAATGCAAAAAGGTTTTGACTGTATGTCAGAGAGATGTTTCAAAGAATTTCCTCCGGATGGGCCACTCCGAAGTTCTGCTCAAAAACTCCCCTCGGCTCAACTGAACTGAGTCACTCCGGAAAGTGATCTAAGATTTATTAATTCCTGATTTTCTGGCAAATCACAACATAATAATAATAATTATAATAATACATTTTATTTCAACAGCGCCTTTCTAAACACTCAAGGACACTTTACAGACAGAGATAAAATACACAACAATAAAAGATAGAACAGCATAAAACAAACAGACAGATTGGAGCAAAGAGAGTAACTATTGGAATGCTAAATGGAACAGGTGGGTTTTGAGTCTGGTTTTAAAGAGAGTGAGGGAGTCAATGTTACGGAGGTCAGGAGGGAGGGAGTTCCAGAGCTGGGGAGTAGAGCGACTGAAGGCCCTGCTCCCCATAGTGACCAGACAGAGAGGTGGGACAGAGAGGTAGATGGAGGAGGAGGACCTGAGGGAACGGGGGAGCTAGGTTATGGATAGCTTTGAATGTATATAGCAGAATTTTGAATTGGATTCTGGGAGTGACTGGGAGCCAGTGGAGCTGCTGAAGAACAGGAGTGATGTGGTGGAAGGAGGGAGTTCTGGTTATAATGCGGGCTGCCGAGTTCTGGAGAAGTTTGAGTTTATGGAGGGATTTGTGAGGAAGACCGTAGAGAAGAGAGTTGCAGTAGTCAATAAGGGAAGTGATGAGGCTGTGGACAAGGATGGCGACAGAGTGAGTAGAGAGGTAGGGGCGTAGGCGGTTAATGTTATGTAGATGGAAGTAGGCATTCCGGGTAATATTGTTAATGTGGGACTGGAAGGATAGTGAGGAGTCGAGGATTATACCCAGACTCTTGACCAGAGGGGAGGGGGAACTAAAGAGTTGTCGACAGGAAGTGTAAAGCTGTGGATTTTGGATAGTAAGGATTTTGTGCCGACAAGTAACATTTCTGTTTTATCACTGTTAAGTTTGAGAAAGTTTGATGTGAATCAGTCTTTGATTTCAGATAAACAATTGGTGAGGGAGGAAGGAGGGAGTGAAGAGGAGGGTTTGGAAGATACATGCCATGTTAAGGAGGTTTTACCAAATAAACCTCAGAACCACACCTTCATCAGATACATAAATGTTCTAACTCTGTGGATAAATAATCTTTAAACTTATGTGAGAGGTGACCGTAACCATAATTTATTTCTTATGAACCTTGTGTATGAGAGTAGATCATGATTACCTTGTCATATCAAACATTACTGATCATAACGTATAAATCTTTCAATGTAACAATAATATTCATTTCAACATCATTGAATTAGGGACAGATTAATCAAAACATTATTACTATTCAACCATTATTGTTCATTCAACCATATGATTATTTCATTTTTAAGTTGAAAAAGTTCACTTTTTATTCAGAGTGGAATCCAGCAGTCTGAGATAAGAGGAAAGCTTGAAGACCTTGGGAGAGAGTGTTTGTTGACTATCTTGTTATCTTGTGTAACAAACGCTGCAGAGTCTTCTGAGCTTTAGGAGACAGAATAGAGGAATCCACCCAGTTAGTGGGCTTATACTTGCAGATGATATTGGTCAATATATAGGTGAAAAATGACCCTTTAATGGACGTTACAATTGAGTAAGGCATTTGAAACAATTGACCATACACACCTGCTTAAAAAATGTGAATATTATGGTCTTCGTGGGAAAACAAATCAATGGCTTCAAAGTTATTTAAGCACTAGATTTCAATATGTAACTATAAATAATATAGATTCACAGCTTCAACAATTTGTGGTGTCCCGCAAGGCTTGGTCCTAGGACCCAAATTATTTACACTCTACCTGAACGATATATTTTCTGTATCAACTCGGTTGAAATTCATTATGTTTGCAGATGATACAAATTTTATTTGTACTGGAAAAGATATGAGTAAATTATTGCAGGAGGTGGAAAATGAATTGGTCACAATAAAAAAGTGGTTTGACCATAGTAAGTTATAATTAAATTAGAAATTAGAAATAAACATCAAAACAGATCATCAATATACATCTTGACAAAAGGGGACTACAATCAATAACTTCATGGGTCATTAAACAACAGTCATCAATTCATTTCTTGACATATAGGGTCATTAAAGGTCATATCACAAAAGGTCATAAAACAATACACCTGTCAAGTTTGACGTAATGTGGTTTGGGGGAAAGGGCATAAAGGTCAAAGAATAATAGACATGTCAAAAATCATGACGAAGGGTAGTTCTTTATATCTCTCAGATGTCATCTCACACCAGCTTGTTTAGTCCTCTCATAATGGACATTAACTCCTGTCAATTTGGAAATAGCTGTTCTTTATTACAGTTTTTTCGATTGCTAAAACGCATTTTCAAAACTGTACGTTTCTTTCAAAACTGCACACACAAAACCCCAAACATAACACACAAATTCCTAAACCGTGGCTTGCCTTTGCAACAAAACCCTGCCATCACATATCGTAACATGTTCCTGAATACCCACCAGGTTACTCTATCTTCCCTGATGATACGGGCGTATTCCAAGATGACAACACCAGGATTCATTGGGCTCAGATAGAGAAAGAGTGGTTCAGGGAGCATGAGACATCATTTTCACACATGGATTGGTCACCACAGAGTCCAGACCTTAACCCCATTGAGAATCTTTGGGATGTGCTGGAGAAGGTTTATGCAGCGGTCAGACTCTACCATCATCAATGCAAGATGTTGGTAAAACACTATGGCAACATTGGATGGAAATAAATCTGGTGACATTGCAGAAGCTTATTGAAACAATGCCACAGCAAATGTGTGCTGTAATTAAAGTTAGAGTGTTAGACCTTATTTCTTTGGTGGCTACTTTCTTTTAGGCCAGACAGTGTATAGATGCACCTGAAAATAAACGATGAATTAAATGTAGTTTTGCATTGAAAGTGAATAAATAGGAAAAGATTAATGATCTGTTTAAGCTTCCATGTTTCAGCACTATGCTCTCACTACTGCTAAAAAGAAATGCATTCCAGCTCCTAGACAAAACATTCTGTCCTCACTGGAGGTCAGCCAACTTCATGCCTTTCAATTTGCAACGATGATATAACTATGGTGTTCTCTGCAACTAACTTTTTAACTAATGCAACATGTAGCTTTGTATTTACAACCTAACATGAATCATTTTATCAGCTTGACTCTTCAGCAGACAATCTGCACACCTCTAGCTAACTTAGTCTGCTAGCTTGTTTGGCCTGTGATACAACATATTGCCGTTGTTTGTCTGAGTTACCTTGGAGCAGCTGCTGGAGTGGCACAAAGAAGAGACTCAGCTGCATCAGTTCCATCAGTTGACCCAGTGGTGTGTGATTTTTATACTGATTAGTGCAATTCTGACCAGCATTTGTTTGTTAGTTAAATATTTGTTTATTAGTGGGTATTCCCTCTGGTGGTCTGATCAGCTAGGTTTCCCTCGTGGCTCGTTTGAGAGGTCAGTTTGACCATCAGTTCTTTTGTGGTCTAAGTTTATTGTGTTGACCTGTTTTGAGTCAAACTAATCACTTTGAAAATGTTTTAACCCTTTTAATAGTAGCAGACCAAGATATGCTACACCATTTTGAGGTCAGTGAACATAATGTAATACCACATTTGTCCACAAGATGGAATACTTGACAAGAACACAAATGAGAATTAAAGATTTTAGAGCTACAAGTTAGCCTAGTGAACTAGACCAAATTCTTGCTTTGCAAAGAATAAATAATGCATTTATTTAGTCTGGCTTGCCAGGCTAGCTACAAGTAGCTGTGTGTGTGAAAATTTATTTCATTATTTTTTTCATTCAATGAGTCCCTTTTGTGGAACGACATGCATTGTTAAAACATAACAACTTTGAAAACACAGAAAATTAAGTTGTTTACAATACATTTGCATAATGCATTATCTGAATATTAAAAGCTGAGTACTGATTAAATACCTGACTAAAAACAGAGTTTAAATCAGACTGACTACACAGCAGCTGGCTGAAAATCAAACAGAGCCTCTTCAGGAACAAAAATTTTAATTAGTCATTTTCTGATCAAAATGTACAAAATTTGGTTTTACAAAGGTAATGTAAAAAGAAAGCTTACACACACAAATTCTAATGAAAAACTTAAAGTCCGACATAAAGTCCATCTAGGACGGTTCGGTTATTTACCTCGTTAACAGGTTTTTGTTAAAAACCAGAAAAAAATTATAATGCACTGGTTTTTTATTTAACTGCATGATTATTAGAAGTACAGAAAATCTGAATTAGCACAACAAGTAAAAATAAATTATTCTTTTAATTTACAGCATTGTGATAAATGTAAACAAAAGCCTGACAGTGGCACAATGATTAACAAGTTGATGGTTAGTTAACATGAATATGTACAGAAACACCTGTTTGTATGTTGTGAGAGTATCTGTAGAAACTAAGAAGGGTCTACTTTTATTCAAAATATTTTACAAAGCTTTATTTAATGCTTAAATAATTACCATTTCAAATTCCTTGCATAGTCAGTTGAAACTCAGACTCAGATGGTTCATCCAGGATTTAAAATCTTTTAAAAATTTCTACAGGAAATAAACCAATGCAGCCCGATGACACATTCATAACTCTGTTTCCCTGAACCTTTTCACATAGATTATGATGTTTTGGGGGCTTGTCCGGGATATAAACTCAGGTCTTCTTGATTTTAGTAATGTATCCTACTTCACAACTGTTTACATGATGTAGCTTTACTTCAACTGCACTGCTCTGACAAAGTTGTGGTCCATGTTACAATCATAACTATATGAGATTTGTCTTCATGTCTTTAGCTGAACTGATTTAGGCTTTTCCGGTGTTGCGTGCGTGAGTGTGAGCATGGACTTTTACAATGGCAGCAGCATCTTTTGAACTTGGCTAGGAGGTATAAGAGGCTTTTACTTCATAGAAGTTCTGTGATTACCTTTGTACATTTCTTCATCTCAAGTGGGAAGAGCAGTTGTCCAATGATTGGAAGACAACCGGCGTCCAAGTATCCCTTCTCAAAAGGATAAAACACAAACATTGTCCCTCCGATGTCGTACCAATGGCAGCCCACTGCTCTTCAAGAATGAAATAAATGAACAGAAATTCCCCTATGTCGCACTGTGGTGCTGACCACAAACCACCTTCCTCCCCTTTTGCAGTTTGTGTCTCAATGTCTGTCTAGGTTAGTTTTATAATTTCAGCCTTTCCCACCTGCACTGATACTCCTAAACACTTAAAGGGTTCCACAAAGATAAAGTTCAAACTGCAAATGTAATATTCTGTAGTCGACTCAAAGCGTTTAGTCTTAAATGCATCGATGTGGTGGTGTACAGGGACAAAGTGACAAGTAAGTGTCCACAATACATGCAGCCCTGGTCATTGATCAATGAGGTAACAGAGGACAGAAATAATCTAACAGCTTAGAAAAATCTTTGAAGAAACAAAAAGACAAAATAAACGTGACTCACTTCTGAATCCTCAACAGCTCTCATCTGAAACTAATTGTGTATTTACGAAAGGAGACATTTCAACAGTACACACTGTTCTGTACAATCTGCTACATGCAGCTAACACTTGGGTGAGGGTGCATTCCCGTTAGGGCAGATATAGAAACAAGTGCTGGGTGAGGACAGAGGTGACACGTTGGGAATACCACGGAGCTCACAGAGATGATGCTCCCTGCTCAGCTCTTCTGTCCAGGAACTTAAGGTTGATCGGCGTCGCGGGACAAAGCAGGGTTCTGGTGATCGGCTTCACAGCTGTCCCAGTAGGGTCTGGCTTCACCTCATAATGTTTTATCAACTTCAACATAAAGCAGAAAGAAGATTGTTAATGAGAGTGCAGACACTACGGTTAAAAGAGACTCGAGACTAGGCAGATTGGTAAACACGGTCTGGATCTTTAACACATGCAATGGGACGATGTCCTTGTTAAAACTAAAAATACACCTCAGATCATTTTTTTCTTGTGCTGATCCCTTTTTATCTTCCTGCTTAAGGTGCAAATGATCATTTTTCTGTAATTACCTGAACATGTTGCTGGTTTAAATGTTTGTTTCTCACAGAGCAACAACAGTTGGAGTGGTGTGTGCACTCACCCTGGACAGGAGCAGATACATCTCCAGTTCAGCCACCCGCCGGCCTAAGCACGCCCGGATTCCAAACCCAAACGGCACCGATCCGAACGGGTGCTGCTTGAGCTTGTCGTCCCCTCTGAGCCAGCGCTGTGGCATGAACGTGTGCGGTGCTGGGAAAATGTTCTCATCATAGGAGACGGCGTAGTGGCACAGGTGGAACAGCGTCTGAGAGAAAAAACAAAAAACTTTTCATTCACCCGGTGTTCACCTGTTAGTAGTAGATGCAAGAAATATAATTCGGTGAAATATCAGGATATGTCATGTTATGATACTGAATCGATATTTAAACGTTGTGCGCTGTAAATTTTTTTTATTGTTTGGTGCAATTTTGAACTTTGACAGCTAGGTGGCAGCGGCTGTCACTGCCTTTATTCTGACAGAACAAGCAGATCTTGAGATAACTCAGGATGTGTCTTGGAAGCGTTAATTTAGTCTTAAAAATTGCAAACGCCCTCTGGCTTTTAGTATTGCATTATATCGTATTGTCTCGTCTGTATTGTGATAAATATTGTACCACCAGATTCTTGCCAAAACACACCCTCCCTAAACAGCAGCTAGGTGGCACCTGTATGCAGTCCATTCATATTCTCTGTTTGAGTCTTTCTGACTCACAGAAACAGAGCTGACAAGAGTTAGAGAGGCTAAAATGAGAAAATGTCTCATAAATTTATCAAAAGAGTGAAGATCTTCAACGCCAGTAGGGATACGTTTACAACTAGTCACAGCCCCATGAGGCTTTAGCTGCTGCTTTGTGTGAAAACCTGACAGGATGGTGGTTGCAAGTTCAAATCCCATTTAGAAAATGTAGTCTACTGTTTAATTTATTCCAGGGGTCCTCAACTAAATCTGTTCAAGTTTTTTCAGCAGACACCAAGAGGCCAAGATGCTCTTCTAAAATAAAAGTTAAATTATTTTTCTATCTTAATTTATTAATATTTGTAGTTAATGTGTTTGGAGAACGTTAACAATTATTAATATTTGGGACATGAATTTTGCTGCTAAACTTCAAAGTCATCCAATTGGGGGGGACGGCCAAATGGATTGGGGGGCCAGGTGGAAAGGTCTAGCGGGCTGGATGTGGCCCATGGGCTGCCAGTTGAGGTTCACTGATTTATTTGATGTTTAATGCTTCATGAGGAGCACTAGTAGTCGGCAGCCTTGTTAGCTGGTGTTATATGCATGTTTGTGCTTGAAATAACAGCGGCCTTTTACGCCGATAAGATGCAAAAGAGAAGCAATATCAATGAGGAGGAACTGGCAGACACAAGACATGAAAGTTGCTAAAAGTTATTCCAATTTACTAAACCAGTGAAAGGCATCATTTTACAAACTATAGACCAGTGTCTATACTCTCCCAGTTCTCTAAGACACTGGAAAAACTGTTCATAAAAAGATTTGACAGTTTTGTGGAAAAATATGAATTACTGACAGATAGCCAATTTGGGTTCAGAAGCAGCAGATCAACAGCTTTGGCATTGATAGATTTAATGGAAAAGATAACGGACTGTATGGATAATAAGAGGTATGCAATCAGAGGTTTTTTAGACCTAAAAAAGGCGTTCGATGCTGTTAATCATGAAATTCTATTAAAGAAATGGAAAGGTACGGGTTTAGGGGAATCGTTGGGGACTGGTTAAAAAGCTATGTAGGGAATAGGAAACAATATGTACAAATAAATTAATACAAATCTGATTTGATGTATATAGCTTGTGGAGTACCTCAAGGTTCAGTACTGGGCCTTAAATTGTTTATTATGTACTTAAATGATATCTGCAGAGTATCAAAAATTTTAAAGTTTGTAATATTTGCAGATGACACAAATATACTGTGTTCAGATGTGGAATTGCCACAGGTTTTGGAGATGATCACACAGGAATTGACGATATTAAAAAAGTGGTTTGATATAAATAAATTATCATTGAATCTAGATAAAACCAGATTTAAGTTATTTGGAAACCAAAAGAAAAACATCAAAATAGAAATGTGTGGACAATGTATATTTAGAAAGAGTAAGTGACATAAAATTTCTTGGTGTGATCATTGACCAATAAGCTCTGTTGGAAGCCACACATTACTCATGTTCGGGGGAAATTGGCACGGGTCATTGCCATCCTGGGGAAAGCAAAGAAGATGCTGGATCAGAAAGCCCTGCACATATTATCCTGTGCTTTACTACTGCCATATATGAGTTACTGTGTAGAGGTCTGGGGAAACACATACAAAAGTAACATACAGACGATTATACAGAAAAAGGTCACTATAATAATTAATAATGTGGGGTACAGGGACAATACAAATGCACTTTTTGTTGAAATGCAAGCTAATAAAATTCCAAGACTTGGTGAAGCTCAAAACAGTGCAAATAATGTATAAAGTAAGAAATAAAATTGCTTCCAAAAGAAATCTGTTTATTGTTCAAAGAAAGAGAAGGTGAGTATAACTTAAGAAATGGAATTTAAAAATACAAAGTGCTAGAAAAACTTTAAAAACTGTCAATCGCAATCGCAGGAGTTAAATTATGGAACAGTCTAACAGAAGAAATAAAAGAAAGTAAAAAAATAAACCAGTTTAAAGTAAAATATAAAAACCTAATTTTAAATGAGTATAAGAATGAAGAAAACAGGGTTAACCCAGGACGGTAAATGTGGCTGGTTATGCTGTTGTGCCTCTTTTTCAGTGCCCCCCCCCCCCCCCCCCCCCCCCCATAACTGGTGAATCTGCAAATTTACACATTCTCTGTTTTTCATAAGTTGTTTTGTTTTTTGTTTTTTATTTTTTTTTCGCATAAGTTGTTTGTTTAATTTAAGACTGAAATAAAATTAAATGAATAAGAGGTACAAATTGGGGGTAGGGACAAATAAGTACAGTAAATACTTCTGCCTACTCCTTTTCAAACAAATAATGGAATGATTTTTTGTATTGATATTTGTGTGAAATGTCTGAAATTAAAAGAAGAAAGAATGAAATAGCCCCCCCACCCCCACCACCACCCACACACACATGCACTTCTGATTGTGTCTGTTTGATTAGTGTTAAATTATAACCTTATAGGTTATAGTACACTGCACCTTTTTGACGTGTGCCTCACCTGTTTGGGGAAGAGATGATCCCCGACAATGATCTCATTTTCCACGGTGACGCGAGCGTTTCCCGGAACAACAGGGTACAGCCTGGAGATCACACAATCATTGCTTGCTTGTGTTTTTTTAAACTAAACCAAATTATAATGTAATGCCAGGGTTCATCTTAAGTGTGAGCATTTAGATTTTTGTTTTTAATCTATTTAAACTGAAAGTAAACACCCCTTTACGTAAAACTTCTACAATTCTTAAATTCAGAGGTAGATTTTAGTATTTAGGTGTTGTTGCTAGGAGGTGGTTAAACTCTGAGGTATAATTATTGGTGTTGGGTTTGTGTCGTGTGTGCAGAACAAAGGAAAAATCCTCTAACCGCAGCGTCTCTTTGACGATGGCCTTCAGGTACGGCATCTGAGTAATGTCACTGCTAGTCGGGACTTTATCTCCAGGGCAAACACTGATGACTTCCTGGTACAGCTGTTCTTGGATCTCAGGCTCCTTTGCCAGGTGATACAGAGACCAGGAGATCGTGTTGGATGTCTGCAGGAAGATATCAATATTTCAGATAAACGCTGGACAATGGATAAATGTGTTTGTGGGTCACATTAATGATGAAACACTGAATTACGTTTAAAAGTACAGTGAAATGTTGTGAGGCACATTCACTACTTTGATGTCCTCATCTGCGTGAGCACAATGTGTCCCTAAAGGCCGACACCCACCGTGTCTACTCCTGCCAACAGGAGCTCGGTGATGCTGCCCAGGATCTCTGTGACCGTCATCTGGTCGCTGAGCAGCAGGTGAGTGAGGTACGCTCCCTCCATGTTCTTATCCAGGTCCACGTTCTGCTGGATCCCCTCGATCTTTTTATTGACCAACTCTTCGGCTGGGAGACACAACAGATTTATCTCAGGAGACGCAGCTGACTCATTATCCCACCAGATGGTGACAAAGAGACGGTTCTAGGTCAGAGGGACTCAGATGATGGACTTTGTTTGATGACGGAGTCATAAGAGTTTGCTAGCCTTGAAATCACTTGATAATTGCAACTGGAAAAGTGGCCATGACCTCTGAACTCTGCTAAGTGTCCTGACAGCAGTCTAATCTCTAGCAGTACAAAAATGCTCCAATTCTTTACGTTTTGAGTTTATTGATTATTTTTTGTTAGTTGATATTTTGTATAATTTTATATCTTTTTAACCATCTTTCATCAGTATGCAACGTTTAAAATGCATGATTTTAGCCTTTGTTTCATTCCAAGACTTACATTTTTATTTATTTCAGTTATAACGTAAAATAATTTGACTTGAAATTTGGTTAAATTTTAAAAAGCAAAGTCAAATTTTGAATTAAAAGCCCAACATTATTTACTCAAAAAAAATTAAAAAATAAAATGCTAGAAAATAAAAAGAGGAATTTCTGTTTATAAATTCTTTTTTTTTCCCTGAAAATAAATGAGTGACCATTTGGGGCTACATAGTGAAGCAGTTACTAACGCTGATGCCTTGCAGCGAGAAAGTTGCAGGTTCAAATCCCAATTGCAGCTTTTGCATAATCTCTTTGTGCAAAACCTGCATGTTGGGGTAACTGGTGACTCTAGAGTGTAGGTGAGTGTGTGTGGTTGTTTGTCTCTGCTCTCCTGTCATGGACCAGTGACCTGTCCAGGGTGTCCCCCTTCTCTCACCCTGCTGAGTAGAAACCAGCTCCTGCTGACCCTACTGAGGAATAAGAAGCCAAGGTGGCCATTTTAAAGTTCACGAGCTCATGCTGCTCACCGACTTTGAAGAGATGATCCCAGGTTGCAACGAACTGTTTCCAAAAAGGCAGGTAGGGCCACAGAGACTTGGGAAAGAGGACGATGATGGGAGAGAGCCGGAACATTTCTCCAACAGAGAAGATGAACTTCTGCGTTTCCTCTGGTACCGTCTCATTCATACAGCCCATACGCGTCTCAAACAAAACGGAGCAGATGCCTGAAGATTAGAAATAAAACAAATAAACTTAAATTAGAACTAAATGCAAAAGATTAAAACAAGAACTCAGACACCTGACACCATCTTAAGTTATAAATCTGTCAAGGATAGGTGGACATTTCCAGTAAAATCACATAACACCTCAATTCTTTATAACTTTAATCTCTGAACATGTTGCTATAGTATTTAAATACATAGAAAGCAACACATTACAGCTGTATTTTAGGTCATGCCCATATGTTTGTTCACACTCCAAAAGCAGAATTAAAAGAAGCTTTTCACCTGTTTGGGTGTGTTTCTGTGTTAAACAATTATCGCACCTGTCAGTGGCGTGTCCAGATCTTTTAAAATGGGGTGGCCCAGGTGAGGCACAACTTTGTGCATGGGTGGCACCAATGGTTATGCTTTTTTGTTTTACCCCCAAGCCTTTTGTGGACAATGAAAAGCCTATTTAAAGGTAAATTAGTGTGTTGGCACCTGGGGTGGCCAATCAGATTTGAAGGGTGGCATGTGCTACCACTCCCTGGACACGCCCCTGGCACCTGTTATTCCTAAAAAGGCCTCCGTTCAGAGAAATAGAGCCTGAAGTATCGATGAGCTAACAGCTAGTCTGGAACTAAAGTGTCTTGTGCTGTGTTCTTTTTACCTTGGAGGCTACTCGGAGCTGTGAGAGATGTTATGCCTGAGTAAGTAGAGATCCAGGTAATGTTGTCGGGAATGTCGGGATTCCAATATGGATGCTTGTTTTTCTATTTATCAGCAAACATTTTGTTTTAGGGAGAGTATTTATGTGGAATTTATTCTATGAAAGTATTTTCTCCTCAACTCAACACTCAAGGTGCTGTTCAGAGCTTTTTATGATGCGTAATGGCTGATGAGGTGAAGATGCTGTCTTTAGTAATAGTTTACATTCAGACCCCATCAGAACCACATTATTTGTAAAATAAATAAATAAACAACATGTCTTTTAAAATAAACACCACAACAGCTGTTGTTGATAGGAGAAGCTGCAATATTGGACCTCGAAGTCGGATTATAAAAAAATTCTTCAATTTTCCGAGTGGGAGATCCAACATCATAGTAGTTGGTTGTTCCAGTTTGGAAAGCAGAATTTTCTGGATCCAACATCAAACGGAACATTCCATTAAAACTGATGGTGGTGTGAACGTTTATAAAATAACAGTCACTCAGCCCACTTTGACATTTGAGATATTGGAGCTATTTTAAAGGTCTTGTTCACCGAGAACATACTTGTTTTTATTTTATTTTTTATTTCACTTTGAGTTGCACATGCATCCTGAACAGGAAAATAGTCTTCAACCCCCATCACCTGCATTAGTGAAAGAAATAGATTACAAAGTGTTCGATAATAAAAGGACAGCCTCTTGTTGGCTCGCAACAGAGGAAGGCTGTTGTTGATTTAGAAAGAAAGAAAGAAAGAAAACAATCTTTTATATAGCGCCTCTCAAAAAAAAATCACAAGACGCTTCACAGGAACAAAAAAATAAATTATTTTTTTAATGATTTAAAAACATAAAAGAGAACAAAAAATTGTGATTAAAAAATATTAGGAAAGGGAGAGAGAAAATAATAAGAACCAGTGAAAGGCAGAGTTGGTAGAAAGAGCAGAATAAGGAGAGGGTGATGAAGGTCACACCAAAGCCTGAACAAGTGAGATTTCAGCTGCTTTTTAAAGGAGACAACTGAGTCCACTGATCTCAGGCTCAGGGGGAGAGAGGTTCAGAGTCTGGGGGCCACAGCAGCAGATGATCTGTCACCTTTGGTCTTTAGCCTGGTGTGCTGCACAACCAGTAGTCTTTGGTCACTGGACCTCAGGGACCTGCTGGAGGTGTAGGGACTGAGAAGATCACCAACATATGGTGGTGCTTGTCCATGTAAGGCCCTGAAGACCAAAACCAGGATCTTGAAATGAACCCTGAAGTTCACAGACAGCCAGTGAAGCTGGCAGCCTGGAAACTGCGTCTCTCAGCTAGCAGAAGCTAACCGTTAGCATTAGTAACTCTACAACATGGCTGAATGCTTTCAGGCAAGAGATAAAACCTCAACACTGCATTTAAAGAAGAGTGAATGAAGGTAGTAAAAAACACTTTGTCCAAGAAAAATGATTTTCATTCATACTAGAGACCGCAGCAGATCTGCTGAAAAGAGGGAAATCTTCAGCACCACACTGTAGATGTGGGAATGTAAAACAAGGCCCTTATTTTGGGCTCACTGTAAAAATAAAGAGAAACTTTTTTACTTTTCCAATGGATTTCACACTTAGAAAAGTTAAAATAACAGATTGCATCTTTGCTAGTGAAGTAAAAGAAACATAGGAACTTTAAGGATCATCTGCAGAGTTACAAAGAATCAAGCTGAGTAAAATACATTGTACACTGACTACATGAATTTACTCTGAAAAAAAGTACATTGGTCCCATGGAGTCAAATGTACTCACTTGTTTTCCTGTGAAAAAATAAAATGTCCCAGACAACATCCATCCAAGTGGAAACGATGACATATTGTATATAGCAAACCTGTTTTTTTTTTTTTTTTTTTGCATTGTCAGAGTGCTGAAAGAAATAACCTGACATGTTATATAAACTTTTTAACAGGTTCTTAGAATATTGTGACTCAATGCTCAGAAATAGAAGGAACAAGCTAATCTGACTTCGTTCTCATTCAAACCTCATGGAAACGTTACACTATTGCTTCCCAGTACAGTTTGGATAATGCCTGAACAAACAAGATAAAGTGTCTGCAGGGTTGAATACAAAGGAATGTGCTGGCAGATGGGTTAGTTGTGTTTGGACACAGCTGACTGGAGTGTGTTAACATCAGTTGCAGTAATACAACTATTTTACAACCAAAAAACAATAAATTAGGAAACTGTATTCATCAAAATGACACTTAAGTGGGAAACACGCCTAACACAAAGTTCTTCTTTTGTCTCATCAGTCCACCAAATATTTTCCTAAATGTTTTAGTGGATTGTGAATGTGAGACAGGTCATTGTGTTGTTTTTGATCAGTTATGGTGTTGGCCTTCTTGGAACTCTCATATGAAGGCCATTTTTGTTCTAGGTTCTTTTATTCCAGAGTTTCTTTAGAACAAGGCATAGCGTGCTAGCCTAGAAATCTAGGCCAATCGTAGCAGTAGCAAAAAGATCTAGCTCTGCAGGTCAGTATAGCCATGCTGCGTTGTAGCTTCAGCAGGTATACTATTGGCCTGATCGGCTTTGTGTCTTTCCAATCACAGAGTTTTGAATTTGTTGAATGGGCACAAGCACCAGAGTTGCGATGGAGAAAAACTACAAAGATGGCGTCGGCTCAAGAACGGTGCTCGTTTGGAACGGCTTTGGCATCAATGGTGGACGATTTAGACTTGGGCTTTTCTTTGAGACATGACATGCAGATAGAGGTACTTAAAGTAACACTAAATGTTTTTTTTAGCTTTAAGCTAGAGCTTTAAGGTTGATCTCAGTGGTTGTTGAGTTAGAAACTTGACCAGTTTCAAATTTGACACCACTCTGCAGTCCACTGCTGGCCAGATACTGCACTTAACAGTTTGTGGAGCGGGTACGTGTTCTAGGGGGCACTCTTATACCTGCATTACAGCTGTTGACTATTTTCTGTGCAGTTAGCTTTTTCAGTTTGCTCATCGTGAATAAAAAGCACAAGAAGAAGAAAAAGAAGAAGTTTGCCGGTGTCTGTAAATGGTGCGGACCCACCGACCGTTCAGCCACGGCTGTTGATTGTGTAGCAGTAATGGGCTGGAGCTAGCTTGCAAGGGCGCTGAAGCATTTTTATTTCCGTGAGGAACAGAATTTTTTTGGTACTCATCACAGAACTTCGCTCTACATACCTGGCTAAAGATTTGCTCTATGTTTTGCTGCTGTCATATCTGATAGGTACGCTGCTTGTCTGATGTCAACTCACACTTTGTTGCTAACGGAAGTTAGCATTAGCGTCTACGGTGGTTAAGAGAGAGACGATTCATATTAAGGTTTTTTTTATTATTTTATTTTTTTTGGCTGTCGTTGTTTAATTAATGATATAATTAAGGGTTTCGAATTTAGTTGTACATATAATCAATACTAATTGTGTTGGAACAGTGTTTGTTTTGATCCTTAAAAAACGTGTCTGTTTATGTATTGTTCATGGCAAACTAGCTTAATTTTCCTGTGATTTGACAGTTGATCACAATTCTCATTTATTGTTATTTTGTTAGTTATATTTGTTCTGGTTTGTCTTTGCTATTTTATCAGAAAAGCATTTGGATTCCACATTGACTAATCAGCAGGATCTTCATGTGGTGTTTTCTTTATATTTAGATTTGAATGGGGAATTTACCTCCAGCTGTTTGTACTTTTACTGTAATCATAATCAATATTAAACAGGAAGTATTTCTCAATTTTCATTATTTTGTCCTCTTGTAAATCCCCACTAATGCTAACTAGTTTTGTGAATATTGTTTACACTGGAAATGAGATTTTTAAAGTTTTATTCAATCAATAAATAAATACACTCAACAAAAATATAAACGCAACACCTTTGTTTCTGCTCCGATGAGATGAGATGGACTTAAAGATCTAAAATTCATTCCAGATACACAATATTACCATTTCTCTTAAACATTGTTCACAAATCAGCCTAAATGTGTGGCAGTGAGCACTTCTGCTTTGCTGAGATAATCCATCCCACCTCACAGGTGTGCCACATCAAGACGCTGATCTGACATCATGAGTAGTGCACATGTGTACCTTATACTGCCCACAATAAAAGGCCACCCTGGAATCATCTAGGTTGATGACTCTAATGCAAACATTTAATATGGAAGCATAATAATAGCATAAAGCAGATGTCTGCAAAAAGTTTAAAACCCTTTCCTCTAAATAAACAAGACTTCATTCATATTTCTGCAGTAGGGAACAAACTAAGTGGATAATATTAATATTCCACACATGCTGCTACTATGGAAATCTGAATCTGAACACATGC